AAAAAAATTAAATAAAAGAAAACTGTAATTACTGTTGATTACTTCTAATTATTTTTGAATCAGTGCTGTGAGGTGACACAGAAATGTCGTAGAGAACATACGTTGTTGTTGTTGTTGTTGTTGGTATGCCTGCTCTCGCCCCAAAACTTTCAAACGTGAGCGTTCAACGATCTACTTGCCCCATTTGTCCAGCTTAAGTTTCAGCCGACCAGTCGATATTACGTGTACTAATTCATAATGGTAAGTTATTTCTCTTTTCTTCGGTCCCGCAAAACAAAAAAAATAACAAACAACGACTCACAAAATGTCATATATTGTGAGCTATGGCAAATGTGCACCTCAGCCTGCTGGGTGCCTGAGGCTCCCCTCGAAGTTGCATTGAAGTTTTCCGAGGTTAACAGAGGGTTAAATTTTGAAACATTTTCAAATCCCCTTTTTTCTAAGTTTCCTCTCCTTATCTAAAAGGTGCTCATCCAAAGGAGGATCCCCTCCTTAGCCTTGGGCAGGGCGTTAGCTTTAGGCCTACATACCACGCACCAGGCAGGCCTGCCCTAGGGCCAGAAGGTGTACCTTTCCTCTCATAAAGATGCAATTTTAATGAACAATATCAAAGATTTCATGAAGGTGTAAAACGTTTCTAGAATTTTTTTTTTTTTCAGGCGCTGCGGACAACAATTGCAGACATTGTGAGAGAAGCTGAAGTGCCCCTAGATGATTTGGAAACCACGCAGCTTCTAGACCACCTGTTTTCAAAAGCTATTGGCGTTACAAAAATCACTGACCTAGTGGATGTCCAGAGAGAAACTCTCCCTTCAAACTTACTGGAAACACTAGGACAAGTACCAGCCAAAAGGCTCATCAGATATTTTCATAATGCAGCAGAAGGTACAAATGAAAACATTTATATAAATAAGTTGAAAATCCCCAAAAGAGTTCATGAACTCCAGCAGTTGTCTATAGATAACAATATTGGTTTTATTCACAGCCGCAAGTCACAATCGAAGTAGGAGTAGGAGTCCAATTTCACCCAGAAATGAAGGTGATTCTGATGAATCTGGAGCCAGTCAACATGAAGGAGACAATACCCCTGAAAAACCTCCTGTCTTTGGGGAAGGTATGTACAGAAATTTATTAAATTCATCTGAAGTAGGTGTATTTCTTAGAGTTTTTACAAAATGGAAAATTATTTATTTGTTCTTTACTTATTGCAGGTGAATTTCGGTATATCATTAACTGGAATGACATGCCAAGGAAAACTGTGAGAGCCTTGGAGAGAGCGAAGCAGAACAAAGTAGAGGGAGAAGATGATGAAATCAATAAATTAAAGCGGGCTCTCGCAGACAAAATTGTAATCGCTTATAAGGATTTTCGAAAGACCCATCCCCATATCACCCAAAAGACCCCAGGAATCAAAGTATCATTTGATGTTGCAATTCAGGTAATTGTTTAGACATAGAAAACGGGGGGG